GGGATAGAGAGAGGGAGAGGGGGTGGCGGTAGCTCCTCAGCTCAAAATCTCCTGCAACCCAATCACTGACTGGCCTCTTGTGCTATTCTAGAGTAGTCTGCTCCAGCGGTGAAAATTTAGAACCCTGTGAAGTTCATCATTCCTCTGTTCTGTTCTTTGCCCCTTGTGTTCCCTCCTCTACCTCTTCTCCCTCCCCCACCCCTCGCCTCCCACAGAACTCCACCCTCTGCCCCTCTCCGCGCACCTCTTGTGTGATATCAGTGAATACATACGAATGAGCATCATTACGAGAACAGACAACACATAAGCTGAAGATCTGAAGAAAAATGAACAGGAGTATACCTCCCCCTTTACTCTGCCTCCTTTCATAACGTGCAAGTGGGCTGTTAAGGCACACGGGGATGTGGGCAGCTGGCGCTCAACCACAATCAATGTGGCCAGCCTTGTATGTGAGAGGCACAGTAAAAAGGGAGCTGCAATAACAATTAGAATGGGCTACCCAAAGAAAGCCGAAGTAAAGGAAGTCGCGTAGGGTATATAACAGATCTATTCTGCTCCATAATGCTTGCTAAAGAGAGAAAATTGTTTCATTGTTGGAATTGCTCGTCTAAATTGTGCTTCATTGTCTGCAATTGAGGTAAAGCTGAATGAATATTAGATCTACTCGTCTGGGTGGATCAGGGGCTGTGGTGGTGAAAATCCACAACACACACACACACACACACACACACACACACACACACACACACACACACACACACACACACACCAAAATGGTGCCTCCCTCGTCACTGTCACCATCACCACCACCATCACCACCTCCTCCTCCACCACCACCATCACCACTACCACCTCCTCCCCTACCACTGCCACCACCACCGGTATCCCCACCACCATCGCCACCGGCATCCCCGCCACCACCATCATCATCCCCATCATTATCGCCACCACCCTCCCCACTGACACCTTCTTCTATCGACTTACCGTGAGGGCACGGGTGCGCAGCCCGTAGTTCGTTTGTTGATGTGGTTCGGGAAGGGTAAGGTAGTGATCATGCTGTATGTATGTTTTGTCATGTTCGCTATACACAACTCGAAGAGAGTGTGTGTGGGGTCCCGGTTGGTACTTTATTCACGATGTTCATGGGACGCTGGACCCAGTGTGTGTGTGTGTGTGTGTGTGTGTGTGTGTGTGTGTGTGTGTGTGTGTGTGTGT